ATTTTAGTCAGTGTCTGGGCTACAGTTTTCTAATTAGTAAAAGGATGATAAAGACATACCCATCTAGTAGAAGTTATGGAGGAAAGACATAAGGAAATGTGTAGAATGCCATTGGGCGGCAGGGCTGGAGTGTCTTTTCATACTTGGCCTCATTTTTGAGATCATTTGAAAGTAAAGTGTTGCGCAATCAATTCTCCTCATGTTTGATATTGCAGCTTTTTTTCTGAACAACCAACAGTCATGGTGCTTGGCGTAGGGATAGTAGGAGGTAATAATTTTGATGTATTTGGAGACAGATTTTCTACCTGAACTTCGTATATATATATATATATATACACACACAGATATATATATATACATACATATATACACACATATATATATACCCATACACACATATACACATGCATGTATATTGTACTGAGGACATTTTATATAGTGAAATAGATGTTGTTTTAGGTGCTGAGGGTTTATGTAAATAAGAAATGCATAGTCCTTGTCTTCAAGGGGTTTACAGACTGATAGGGGAGCTGAGTGCTACAGAGGCGGTGATAGATGACAGAGGCTTGGATTGCAGTGGTTGACAGAGAAGGCTGGAGTCAATTCTGTCAGCAAGGGGAAAGAGTCAGGAGAGGTGTCAAAGAGAAAGTAACTCTTGAGCTGAGACTTGGGGATGATTTGCTGTTCTAAAGGAAGACAATCGATGACAGCAAATTTTAGATGAGAGAGCTGCTTGGGCAAATCAATGAAACTGCCTGGGCAGATCAGGAAACAGTTAAAAGTTCATGGTGGCAGGAACATAGAGCAGGAGAGTCCACAGATGAGGTTGAGAGTCCAACCTGTCCTTGGACCAGGTTCTGAAGGGTTTGTAGAACAAGTTAAAAGTGAGACTATGATCCCAAGTACTGTTATGGAATAAACAGAATTTTCTCTGTAAGGAAGTGGGATAATTATATTTCCACTTTAGGAAATGACTTGGGCTGCAATGAAGAACACCTCTTAGAAGTTAAGTTGTCTTGTTCATATTTTCTGCTTGGGGTTTGTAGTATGGCTCGTGTCTTTGGCTTGAAGTTTTTCATCCAGTTTGGAACATTCTTAGCCATTATCTCTGTGAATATTACATCTGCTTATTCTCCTTCTGTTCTTTTTCTGTAAATTTTACCATGTGCCGTATGTCTCTTAGAATCTTTTCAAAATTTTCATCTTTCTTTCCTTCTGTGATTATGTAATCATTTATGTAATCTGTTTTTGTAAATAAAGCTTTATTGGAACCCAGCTCTGCCCACTCATTTGTGTATTGTCAATGGCAGCTTTTGCAATCCAATCAGAGGGAAATAGTTTCAGCAGAGACTGTATGGCCTACAAAGCCTAAAACATTTACTATCTGGACCAGAGAAAGTTTGCTGATCTCTGGGCTGATCTATTGTTAAGCAATCTATTGTGTTCTTAGTTTTGATTATCCTTTTTTAAGCTATGCAATGTCTAGTTGATTCTTTTTGTTTCCAGTTCTTGGCTGAAATTCTCTCTCTTTAAATTTTTAAACACATTAATCAATTGCAACTATTTTAAAATTTATGTCTGAATAACACCAAACTCTTCTTGACATCTCCTGTTGGTTTTTATGGACATTTTTTTCTTCTCTTGTGTTTTGACCATTTTGTGAATGGTCCCTGGTGTAATGTTAATTAAATGGTGACTGGTTTATAATATATTCCAGGGTAATTTTGAAGCTTTTGCCTAGATGATATTTTTTATTTTTTATTATTTTTTTTACTTTAGATAGGATCCGCTACAGCTGATTTTTGTATTTTTAGTAGAGATGGGTTTTACCATGTTGGCCATGCTGGTCTTGAACTCCTGACCTCAAGTGATCCACCTGCCCCAGGCTCCCAAAATGCTGGGATTACAGGTGTGAGCCACCGTTCCTGGCCAGGATCCACTAGTTTCTTATAGGCAACTAGTTGGGGAGTAGATATGCATAATCCCTCCAGGGGTTGAGCTGATAGGAGGTTGTTCTTCGGTCTTGTGAAGGCTGGTATATTTCAACTTACCCATATTTTTGGAGACAAGCTCTTTTAGAGTCACAGTGAAATCCAGAGATACTCACTAGGGTTCTTCTTGGTGGGTTCTGAATTCCATCTCCCATCCGCACTCGCAGATGATTATGTTCTGCTCAGCTTCTGAACCACTGCTGTCTGTTTATCTTGTTAGTTTGCTACCACTCAGCTGCTAACTTCGAATCAGCAAATATTTTAAACAGAAAAGCACCGCTCAATATTAAGCCCACATCTTTGCCTTTCCCTTCTTTCCAAGATCATAATCCTTCAAGACCTCTTAGCTGAGTAACTCTCTAAAGACGTCAAACAGATTTGTTTGTATTTTGTTCAGCTTTTATGATTGTTATTGGAAGAGGGACTGGTCTACACATAGCTACTCCGCCATTACTAGAGTAAAACTATGGATTCTAGGTAACTTGCAATGCACAGAAATGCAAGACCAGTTCAGAAGATATTGTATACATTTGAGAAATAATGATGACTTGAACTGAAGGCTGTAGTAGTGAGTAGTGTGTAGGATTCACAGATGGAAAATAGATCTGTGAATGATGTTCAATATCATCAGCCATCATGGAAATGCATACTAAAATAATAGTGAGACACTACTACCTACCTATCAGAATGGCTAAGATAAAACATGACAACACCAAATGCTAGTGAGGATGAGGAGAAATGGGATCACATACATTGCTGGTATGAATATAAAATGATAGTCACTCTGGAAAATAGTTTGGCTGTTTCCCATAAAACTAAACATGGTATTACCATCCAGCAGTTACATTATTTGGCATTTACTCCAGAGAAATAAAAATTTATGTTTATATTAGAAAGAGTGCGTGAATGTTCATAGCAGCTTTATTTGTATTATCTCCAAACTGAAAAAAACTCAGATGTCCTTCAGCAGGCGAATGGGTTAACAAACTGTGACACATTTGTACGGTTAAATACTACTCAGCAATAAAAAGAGCTGACTATTGATCTGCACAAAAACTTGGATGAAGATTGAGAAAATTATGCTTAGTGAAAAAAGCCAATACCAAAAGTTTACATGCACTGCGATTCCTTCTCTATAATATTTTTTGAAATGACAAAATGTTAAAAATAGAGAATTGTGGTTGTCATTGGTTAAAGATCAGAGGGGGATATTAAGGGTGCAGGAGGGAGGTGGATGTGTTTTCTTTCTCTCTCTCTGTGTGTGTGTGTGTGTGTGTGTGTGTGTGTGTGTGTGTGTGTGTGTGGTTTTAAGGAGGGAAGAGTTTAATAGGCAAGAAGGGAGAAGACAGAAGGAAGAAGCTCCCCCGTACAGAGACAGAGGGAGGGGAGCTCCAAAGTCAAAAGAGGTGGTCCCCACCTACCACAGATGCCAGCCAGGTATATATGCAGAGTCTGGAGGAGGCGATGTCTGATTTGCATAGGGCTCAGGGGATTGGTTTGACCAGGCGTGTCATTCACATAGATGTGATTTTAAAAGGTAACTTTAACTGTGCTGATGAAACTCTTCAGTGTAATGACTATGTATACATACACATTTACAGATTAGATGTGATAAAATTATGTAGCACAAATTGTATAGCACAAATACCTGTTACTGACACACACACACACACACACACACACACACACACACACGCAAATAGAACTGGGGAAATCTGAATAATGGTGGTGGATTATGTCAATGTCAATATCCTGGTTGTGATATTGTACTACAGTTTTGCAAAATGCTATCATCGGGGAAAACTGGAAAAAGAGTGCATGGGATCGCATTCTATTATTTCTTATTAACGTTTGGTTATCTACACTTAATAAAGACTTTGAGAAAAATCCAACAAATGAATAACAAAAGAATGTCACTCAGAATTTCACAAGGTTTTTCAAAAATTTATTTTTGCATATTTTGTTACACACGTTTTTAATGGAAGGCACATTATTATGCAAGTACTTTACATTCTGATCTTGTGAGCACATTGTTCAACCAAATATATAATTCAGGGTCTTTATTTGTATGCAAAATAGTCCTCTATGTTTCACTGCGGCAGAAGTATCTGTTAAAGGATATTAGGTACTTTATGTAACCTCCAGGAGAGCCATGGTCCTTCTCTAAAGAAAGTATGTGACTCCAGACTGAGTCTCAGAAGCTCTGGGACTGCTGTCCTGAAGATCCAGACACCTCTGTCCTCATGCCTGCCAGAGGTCAGCTGTATGAGCATGACTTTTGACTTTTCTTGTTATTTACTTCTGAATCCAAATGTCCTCTGGGTGAATCTCATGTGTGAAACCTACACCCTATGCCTGTATCCTTGAATGTAGAGACTAAGTTTTCTGGATTCTACCTTAGGAAGGTATGATCTTTTAATGTGGAAAATAAACAAAACCTAGAGTGCATATTCTTATGAATTGTTTTTCAAGTATTCAAGATTTTAAGTTTTGTTCTGAGGCTGAGGCACTGGTTTTACTCTAGTAACCAGGCACGTGTGTTATCAGACTTGCATAATCCAGAATTAGAGACTGAGCAAAATCTGTGTTGACATTCTAAGAAAATCCTCTAACTGCCTGCAAAAAATTTCACCCTCCATAACATGACATTCAAGACCTGTGTTCTCTTCCCTCCAACATTTCATAGATCTTGTGCTGCAGACAAATCAGGTTTTCTTCCCTGAACACTCTATTCACTTACATGTCTACATGTTTTCGTTAATGCACTTTCCTCAGCCCACCCTATGGTTATTCCTTTTCTCTTCTAACATTTTAAAAATCTGTAAGGCCTCAGAAAAAAAAAAGTCCTTTATTAAATGTGTTAATGTCTATAAAAATATCAACATGGTTTCATACACATAATCAATAAGAATTAGTTACTGCCCTTCTTCCATTTCTGATATATTTCATAAAGCTTTTCTTTATTCTTTCAGTTATAATTAATTGTTCTTTCTTTTGTTATATTTTTAGCAACAACTACTGTGAATTTGCTTGTGTCCAGTTCACTGTATTGGGTAAGTATGCATACATAAATGATATGTAATTTAAAAAATATTTTTACAATTGTACATAAATTTTATTCCATATTAATTTCAAATTTTATTCAAATATATTTTTGCAATATGATTTGATATCTACTTTCCAATGATATATGTGCAACATATATTGATTAATGTATATATAAGATCTATAGATACATATATATACACACATATATACATACATATTGATGTATATAAGATCTATATATACACGCATATATATATGCGTGTATATGAGATATCTTATTGATGTATATATAAGATCTATATATATGCATGTATATATAGATCTTATATATACATCAATAAGATATCTCATTCTCTCTCTCTCTATATATATATATACACATATACACATATATACCTATGTATATACCATACATATATATATATACCAATTCCTTACTACCTCATTCTCTCTCTCTCTCTGTCTCTCTCTCTCTCTCTCTCTCTATATATATATATATATACACACACACACATATATTTACATATAGGTGTGTGTATATATATATATAGAGAGAGAGAGAGAGAGAGAATGAGATAGTAAGGAATTGATATTTA